CAACCCAGTGATCCCCACCTACAATAATGAGGTCAAGGGGCATTCACCAAGAGGCAAGGCTGCATCTTTCAGGGGCCTCTTGGTCCTGGTGTGAGGAATCGGTCTCTGTGCCTGCCTGAATGTTCTCTCCATCCTTCCCATGGGTCGAAGTCCCACATGCCTGTAAAGACACCCCCAAGTTCCTGGGCTGTAGGCAGATCAGGCACCACACTGAATTCAGGGTGTCACAGCTCAGCTGTCTGTAGAGATAAGGGGAGAGACCTACAAAACCATCCTGGACTCACTGCCCTTCACTGAGAAACCTTCAATGCAGCCACAACATGATGGATTGTTTGTCTTCTGGAACTGAGACAGTCTCCTCCACCAAATAAAAATATGACCCTTTAAGGCCACTGCATCATTAGCATGGCAAGCCACTTGAAGTCAAGAAACTTGGATTCAAATTCTGGCTGCACTACTTACTACCTTGGTGACTTGGAGCAAATAACTTAACCTCTCTGTTGCTCAGCTTTGTCATCTCCTATGGAGATAGCATCTGACTGGTATGGAAAAGATTCCGCAAAATAAGGTATCTAATTAAAAATATTGTAGGAGGTTGCCTACAATACTGCCTGCATAACTGCCTGCCTTCTTTGTACGTGACTGGCAACAAGTAGGTACGAAATAAATGTATTGTGATGGACAGGGACAGCTGCTCAGTTGATTGGTTTTTAGAAATCCACTAATGACAGAGAAAAACCCACTGAAATGTAAGAATTTCAGGTAGCAGTGTGAGTAATGTTTTACATTTTTGTGGGAGTTGATCTTCTAAAATACCATCTCACAACCACTCTGGGATACAAACGGAGGCAGAACTACTATCCTCAACTCACAGATAAAGCATCTGACTCCCCCGCTATCTTTTCCATCCCTCACCAGGGTGAGCCGATTGTTCTTTGTGCGCAGAGGGAACCTGAATAAGCTTAGGTAGACCATTTGTCCCTGTCTTGAGCACTGTCTTTTCCAGATTTAGGACTATAGGGATATCCATGAAGACATGCAGCTGCTTTTTTTTTCTTTCTTTGCTGAGCTGTGGCATGTAGGATCTTAATTTCCCAATCAGGGATTGAACCCATGCTCCCTGCAGTTGAAACTCAGAGTCCTAACCACTGGACCACCAAGGAATTCCTTCCCTGGAACTACTTCTTTTTGTCCCTGGGCATTTAGGGAGGACCTCCAAAATCCAGGCCAGGGAGCCTCTGCCCAATGAAACAAGTCACCTTCACTAACTCCATCAGGTAAATGCAGTTCAGCACCTTTCCCCACAAGGAGACTGGGAGCCATCAGGAATTAAGAGTGGGATCTCTAGAAATGGGCTGTCCAAACTCAAAGCCTGTCCCTGTGTGACCTCACACACTTTGCTTACCCTCCCTAAGCCTATTTCTTCTGATGGAACAGTACTGATCTCATCAGGCAGTTGTGAGGATGAAGTGAAGTAATTCAAGAAAGGTCAGCCCCGAGGCAGGTGCAAGGTAAGGGCCTGACAAACATCAGCCCCTTCATCCTATGGAGATGGCTATCCGTGATGCCCAGGACCACTGAACATGCACAGCACAGAATGCTCTCCCAGCCTGCACCATGCTATGAACCCCTTGAGAGCAGGAGCCGTATCTTATTCGTCCTGTTACCCTCCAATTCCCAGCACAAGCTCTGACACAAATTGTAAGCAAGAAGGAACAAATGAACAGGTTCCTTATAGCACATTCAGCTCTCGAATTGTTTGGCTCTGATTATCAGGAAAACGCATTTGAGTCCACACCTGTCACCTGGGAGAGTCAGGGGCCTAGGCATGGGCTTGGGACTAGGACTTCGAGCCCCCTAAAAATGTAATACTCCCATCATAGACAATACACTTATCGATGATTAGGAGCCCAGGCCAGTGGGAGGGATGCCCAATTTCCTCTGAGCTCCAGAAACAGATTCTCAGCTGGGACACTGGCTCCCTGCCAATCCCTCTCAATACAGACAGGAACAGACATGCATTTATATGCACATGCACACACAATCAGGGCAGGGAAGAAAAGTCTCCAGGCTGACCTCACCTAGAAGATGCCAATCCTCCTGGACAGCAGAAGCTGTAGGATCCGGGTCAGCGGGGATCTGTAAGAATACTTTGGGGTCCACAGGTGGGTCCTTTTCTCTGGTCATGTGTGATACCTACAGAAGTGGATCTACCTAGCTTACCTACTCTAAGAGATCAGATTGAATCTGAGAAGTAGATTCTAAAACAAAGTCAGAGACCAAAAAGGATGCAAATGAAGTCATGAACGAAGGAAATTCAGAATTCAGACCAAGAGCTGAGCCCAAAGGAAGGCCAGGGTGAAGGCACAGGGTCTGGCCCTAGGATAGCCTCCCACCTTCAGATGCTTCCACCAGGCCACATCCCCCAGGAGAGACATCACCATACTTATGTACTGGTGGCATGACATCAGCGCAGGAAGATGCCATGTGATCAGACACTTCACTCCATCACTCACCCTATGGTGAGATGGACTGCAGGGCTGAAGGCTTGCTGAAGAGGTGTCAGCCACAGCTCTTAGTAGGAGGACGACTGGGAGGAGGCATAGGCCAGAAACAGACAGGAACCAGCCATCTCTTACCACTCCCCACCCTGCATATTAGACGCCAGGAACACAGAACAGCTCTTCCTTGCCTCCATGTCTTTCTTCTTGCTATTTACTTTCCTCGGGATGTCCTTACATTTCTTACCCTGCTAGTTATTACAGTTCAAGACTGAGCTTAAAGGTCATCCCCTCTGGAAAGCCTGAGTGCCCACATGCTTAGAGGTTAGTGAAATACCTCTAAGAGCTCTCCACCTCCATCCCTTAGCTCTTACCTTTTCATACCGAGAGTCTCTCCCTTAAGTCCATGGACCCCACTGAGCCAAGAGCTCCTTGAGGGCAGGTACCATTTTTAGCCATCCTTGGATCCTCAGTACCTATCACAGGGCTTGGCATATAGTAGCTGCTCAACTACATGCCTGTTGAGCAAGTTCTCACAACAGAGAAAACACTGGTTTGGACTGTGGAGGTGAGAAGAGATAAGTTGAAAATGAGCATAATGAAATTTAGTAGGATGTCCAAGTGGAGTGAGAGCCAGAGAGAGAGAGCTCAGGGCTGCTGACAGAGGCTTAGAGGTCTCCATGTGGAGGTGAAAATCAGAGGCATTGGAGCTCTCCGGGGTGGGGGGTGTTTTGCAGGGTAGGAGAGAAGGATGGGAACCCTCATGATACTCTGAAAATGGTTCCAGTCATACACAAACCCTCCCTCTAAATGTACGCAACAGGGTGTCATGGCCTCAAAGGGGGGCATCTCTCTAAGGGCATCTTCAGGGACGGATGGTGCTGGAATGAGATGGACTCTGCCCCAGGAACTCCAGCCCCCACTGACAGAGAGACCACCAGGTCAGCCAAGGCAGCAAGCCAAAGTAGAGATACCTCCCACCACCCTGGGGACTGCTTCCCTAGGACACCCTGTACCGCAGCGCATGGTCCCTGCCCTTGAATTTGAAGGAGACCCAAGGCTCTGGAGCTAAAGGAGTAGTGAGAGAGCAAACACTACCTCCTCCCTACTTCAATCATCTGTGTCGGGTCTGGTCTGCAGGCCAAGGGGAGAGGTTCTATCCAGAGATGAGCCAGGAGTGAACTTAGCCTGTCTGCTAAGTTGCTTTGGTCGTGTCTGACTCTTTGTGACCCTATGCACTGCAGCCTGCCAGGCTCCTCTGTCCACGGGATTCTCCAGGCAAGAATAATGCAGTGGGTTGCCATGCCCTCTTCCAGGGGATATTCCCGGCCCAGAGCCTGGACTATAAATGATCATAAAACTAAGGACTCCACTCCAGCAGATGTTAAGGGTAATTTGACAGAGTTCAGCAGAAAGCAGTGACTGGAAGAAAGTAAACCATTTCACCTCTCTGTGCCACAGAGTCGACACTCGTCAATAAACCAGTTACACAGAGGCCAGTGTGGAAGCCCCCTCTGGGCTGATGGGCAAAGGAAAGATGTGGAGAGTTCTTGGCCCCCCAACTCTGGTTCTCAGTAAGACAGAACTTAAGTCAAAACCTCCTCAGTCTTAATCACCAAACAAAAAAGTAACCACACAAGCCTCTCACTGTATGTCTTTATTTATACTGTCATCTGCTCCAGCATTTTAATATCCAACTTTCCGTTGGAAGGCAGATGCCTGGATGTTCACACCCCGTTCTAATGGTTTAATACCCTGAGTACTGCAGAGGGAGGGGGCTGCAAGGAAGGAGTGGGGATGAAAGCCGCCACCACATTGGGCGCAACTTTGGAGCAAATGGGTTTGAATATTCATTAAACAACATTTAATTTAAACACCCAAACTCTGAAAGCAGCAGCATATGGCCTGTTTTATTTTACATAAACTGAATAGGAGGCTGGGCCATTAGTTTCTGCAGACACAATGTTCATCACCAAAGAACTCTTTCCTATGGGGACACCCCTGCACTGTACTGGGCCCACAGCCCCACTGCCCCTACGGGCTCAGGGAGTCGAAGCCGAGGGTACCCCAGCAGCCCACTCATCGTGGCTCAGCAATGTCAAGCAAGCACCTGTCGCCCGTTAGGGACAGATTAGGACTTCATTAAGGAAAGTAAGCTTCTGGAGGTCTCCTGGCCCCTGGGTTTGTGCCTTGGGAAAGTAAATTAGACAGAATTCTGGGTGCCCTGGGGTGCTGGATAGCAGTATCCAGACAGCATGGACCCAACCTCTTCTGCAGTGGCCATGCCAGACCACTGAGGGCAGGTACCATTTTTAGTCATCCTTAGATCCTCAGTACCTATCGCAGGGCTTGGCATACAGTAACTACTCGACCAAGTGCCTGTTGAGCAAGTTCTCACAACAGAGAAAACACTGAAGTTTGGACTGTGGAGGTGAGAAGAGGAGTTAGAGTTAGGCCTTGCCTTGGATGCTCCACCGGTAGGAAAGGTCAGCAAGGCACAGGGGAAGCAGGGAAAACTGGGGGCTTGGTTTCTGGCCAGCGCCCTTTGCAAAAGGAACCATTCCTCTGCTTAACGTCACCCTGTGGTGGCCTGGCCCTGCCCACCCCTCTGCCTCATTTCCCAAACACTCCCAGTCCTGACTCTTTCACCTTCCACAAACCCATCTGCTTTCTCTTGCCTCAGGTCTTGGCACCAGTTCTGCTCTACCCCAGGCTTGCAACCCCAGTTCCCTTACCTACCGAAAGGTGACGGGGAGTATAGCACCAGATGACTTGCAGGGGACCTTCCGGCTGCAGCAGTCTCCAGTCTACGGCCTTAGTTCCCATGCCCTCCCTTGCCTGGTGCCAGGGAAGACCAGCAGCACGCAGAGTCCAGCCAGCAGTGTCCCCACTGCAGGCTGGGACGCCTACTGAGGGCGGCCTGAAACAGAATGCCAAGGCTCAAAGGGAAAGCGCTCGGGAGGCATGGAGAAGCCAGAGGCCCATGAGAGTGTGAACAGAGGCAGGAGCGACAGCAGTGTGCTCTGGAGCGACAAGGACTTTGCTCAAGCAGACGCCTTTACCCCAGGGCCTCCTCCCTACACGTCTGCTCAACCTTCACAGCAGTTCCAGCACCTCCTCCTAAGATAGTCCACAGGCCCTCCTCTGCATGCCCAGACTCTTTACCCATCCTGCAACAGCACTCAGTTCACAGGCTCACAAACTTAAAGAGCCCCAAGGCAAGGCCTCCCCTGGGAAAGTGAGCCAGGGGAGTAAGGACTTTACCCACATTACACAGCTAGTTGTAGGAAAACCACTCAAACTCTGAGCTCCAGACTGTAAATCCAAAGTTCTCCCCAAGACTCTTCAAACTTGGCTCAAATGTGTCCCCCAGGAAGCCCTCCTGCTGCCTCTGCACCCCCCTGCCCGCCCACACCACTAGAAGTTAGTGGTGGACATGATGGACACTGGTCTTCCCCTTCTCCTTGGGGCTCAAACTTCATTGCTCTCCTCCATACACATCCACTCCCACCCATGACAGAGTTGACCTGGAGCCATATGCATCATGGAGATGTCTTAAACTTTCTGTGGAATCAGATCACCAATATACTATGCCCAAGACCTGAGCTTCCTGCTGGGCAGACACACCCTTTATCCAGTGGGCAACTGCTTCTCTGTGTGTGAGGGTAGGGGGGTGGGTGGGGAGCTGGAGGGGCCGTGCTCCAAGCCGCTCCCCCAGCCCCTGGCTAGCTCCTAATCCCGCCATCTCCTCTCACCTTCAGGATGTGCAGAAGTCAGAGAGATTCCTTCTCCTCTCGTGCCCTCCCTCACTTTCCGCTCAGGGATGTTATGAGAATTAATGGGATAACAGATGAAGTGCCTCCAAGGAAACAGGCTACATAAATCCAAAGTGTTGTTATTAAATTCCAAATTTAGCCCTCGGGATCAGTGAGGCATGACAGATCTGAGCTGGGAGCAATCCCAGATGCACAGCCAGGAAGTCCCTGTAAAACCAGAAGCCATGACACATAAGCTTTGGGAGTCAAAAGAAGCCTTAAAAAAATCCCACAGGCCTACACCTGACATAAGTCCCCAAGAGCCTCTAGAACAATCCCACAAAGTAAGCAGCTAGGCTCTGCCTGTACACCACCAGTGACGAGAGCTCATGACTCCCTAAGGCAGCCCCTGCCATCTTCCACTAGTTCTGAGTTTTAAAAACTTCCTCCTATCCAGCCACACCATTTCATCATGTTTGGCACAAATCGCATCCTTTTCCCACATGATAGCCCTTGAACCAACAGCAGCTCTCTCCATTCATTTCCCAAGTTAAATACCTTCAAACCTTTCAAACAGACCTCACAGGCCATTATCTGAAGGCAGGTCACCATCTTGATACTCTTTTCTTACGCTTTTCTTAAAGCCATGTACTTCATGGCTTCTAAAATAACACAACCCCCAGGAGAGGCCCAACGGGGCAGAACAGGACCCCCCCACCATTCCTTCACTGTAGGTGCCCACTTTCTATGGGAGCAGCTGGAGGCAAAAATTTGCTTTAAAAAAAAAAAAAATCCAAAGCCCACTGTGAAATCATATAATTGATGTTCAGGTTTCAGGCCATAATCTTGCCATACATATACCTGACTAGTCGTGGCCTCAAAGAATCCCAGAAATGACACCTAAGTTGGATGGGACCTCCTGGGAACAGACAGCCACAGCACGGGTCAGGCTCTGCCCTTGGAGCCACAGTGACCTAAGTTCAAGGCCCAGCTCTTCCACATACTAAAGGACCCTTAGCAAATGGCTGAAATCCTAAATTCCAATTTGCTTATCTCTGACATGAGGAGAATAATACTCACCTTGAAGAATTATTGTGAGGACAAAAGAGAATACATTTAATGTGCCTAGCAGTGTAAATGGTAGGTGTTCAATAAAAGAAAGGTCTTATAGTCATATTCAAAGTCTCATGGGGGCCCTAATAGTTTCCAAGGACAGAAAATCCAGTAAGTGCCTACACACAAAACTGATTTTCCACAAGGATGCCAATACAGTTCATGGGAAAGTAGACTTTTCAACCAGTGGTACTAGGACAACTGAGGAGCCACATGGAAAAGAATGAAGTCAGACCCCATCCTAACACCATCTACAAAAACTAACACAAAACGGATCGTAAACCTAAATGTTAGAACTAAAACTATACAACTCATAAAAGAAATCAGTCAACTTTGTGACTTGGGGTTAGACAGTGATTTCTTAGCTAAATATCAAAAACATGTAACAGAAGAAGAGTTTAGAATTCATCAAAATGCAGAACTTTCGCCTTTTAAAGAACACAATCAAAAAAGTGAAAATACAAGCCAAAGAATGGACAAAAATATGTACAAACCATATATCTGAGATTTATATCTAGAATATATGAAGAACACTTATAACTCAATAATATTTGCAGCAACATGGGTGGGATCTAGAGAATATCATACTAAGGGAAGTAAGGCAATGACCAAAGACAAATATTATGATAATGTGCAACCTAAGAAACGAGTCAAATGCATCTCTATACGAAACAGAAGCAAATGCATTACCAGAGGGGGGAGGGGTGACAAACTGGGACTATGAGATTAACAAACTGATATAGATAAAACAGATAAACGAGGATTTACTGTGTAGCACTGTGCTATGCTTAGCCGCTTAGTCGTGTCTGACTCTTTGCGACCCCATGGACTGCAACTCGCCAGGCTCCTCTGTCCATGAGGATTCTCCAGGCAAGAATACTGGAGTGGGTTGCTCTGCCCTCCTCCAGGGGATCTTCCCAGCCCAGGGATCAAACCCAGCTCTCCTACATTGCAGGTGGGTTCTTTACCGACTGAGACACCAGGGAAGCCCAAGAATACTGAAGTGGGTAGTCTATCCCTTCTCCAGGGGAACTTCCCAACCCAGGAATTGAACCGGGGTCGCCTGCATTGCAGGTGGATTTTTTACCAGCTGAGCTGCCAGGGAAGCTGAGGGGACTATATTTGATGTTTTAAAATAATCTATAATGGATATATATATATATCTGAATCACTTTGCTGTATACCTGAAACTAACACAATATTGTAAATCAATTATACTTCAATTTTTTTTTAAAAGACAAATAATCCAATTCTAAAATAAGTGAGACTTAAATGCTTTTCTAAGTAAAACATATAAACTGCCAACAAGCACATTAAAATATGCTCAGTAACACTGATTATCAAATACAAATTAAAACCATGAGAAACCACTTCATACTCACTTGATGGCTGAAATCAAAAGTACAGATGATAAAAAGTGTTGGCAAGGATGTGAAGAAATTAGGACCCTCACATATTGCTGGGAGTTACATAAAATGGTGCTGTTGTCTGTGGAAAATAGTTTGGCAGCACCTCAAGATGTTAAGATATGTCCACACAGACATTCGTACGTGAATGTTCATAGAATTATTCATAACAGCAAAAATACAGAAATAATTCAAATGTCCATCAACTGATGAATGGATAAACAAAATATGGTATATCCATACAGCTGAATATTATTTGACAATTAAAAGGCATTAATTGTACTGCTGCTTGCCACTACATGGATGAACCTTGCTCTAAAATTAGATAGTGGTGAGTGCTACACAACTCTGTGAATATATTAAAAACAATAGAGGCCTATATATGGTGAATTCCATGCTGTGTGCATTATAACTCAATAAAGCTGTATTTTTTAGAGGAATGAAGTAATGATACACACTAAAATATAGATGAAACTTAAAAATACTAAGTGAAAGAATATAATCACAAAAAGATCACATTTCGTATAATTCCATTTATATGAAATGAGTATGTCCAAAATCAGCAAATCTATACTAGTGGTAAAGACCCTGCCTGCCAATGTAGCAGGCTTAAGAGGCGCTGGTTCAATCCCTGAATCAGGAAGATCCCCTGGAGAAGGGCATGGCTACCCACTCCAGGATTCTTGCCTGGAGAATCCCATGGACAGAATATCCATGGACAGTCCATAGGGCCGCAAAGAGTTGGACATGACTGAAGCAGCTTAGCATGCACGTGTGGAAAAGTAGACTAGTAGTTGCCCGGGATTAAAGGGTAGCTGGAGTAAATGGGGAGAGACTCCTAGCAGGCACAGGATTCCCTTCTGGCATGATGAAAATGTCTAAAAAGTAGGTGGTGATAATAGTTACAAAACTCTGCAAAAATACTAAAGCCCACTGAAATGTACATTTCAAAAGGATAAATATTTTGGTATGAGAACTGTATCTCAATAAAGCTATTTTGTTTGTTTGTTTTTAAAAATAAAGGTTTGGCTTTTTTTTTTAAGTGGTAACATGGTGGTCTGGGAGTGACAAGCAGAGAAAGCAAGTCTTAGCAGTAGGAGGGGCAGCCACTGTGGACGCATCAGCAGCCTCCTGATCTTCACTCCTTCTCAGCAAGTGCTCCCTCAGTCCTGATTAAGAGGAAAGTGGGCTCCGTGAACTGGCAGGACAAGGAAGGGACCCTACTCCTGGGCTGGGCCAGTCAGTGTCTCATTCTTGGGAAGTAATTAAGTGGGATGCAGGTTCGAATCAATATTGTTGGATGCTTAGAAAGGAAGGGAATGGGAAGCTGGAATGAAAGCCCTGGGAAAGAGCAAAAAAAAAGGCCAGCCTGCAAAGGAGTGGAATAGCCTCAAAGAGGGGGAAGGAAGAAGAGCTGATTTTTACTAGAACAACTCCCAGTCCCAATCCCAGCAAAGCCAT